CCTCCATTCTACTCTCGGGATCTTGGGCATGCACACACATGCGCCTGGTTTGAGTTTAAGCCACCAGGTCCGGGACTCGAACTGTGGCTAACTACATGGGAATTCAGCGACATAGCCATTACGCCAACTGCTGATCCCGATAATCCTGTGCATTTTCAAATTCATCTTACAAATATCTGTGCTGATAGTACAAACAAAAATTATAAACCTTTATAAATAAAAATTGGCGAGCTTTAATCTCTTAAAAGCAAGATAATTTTCAAAAATCTAGCTATATCCTCTTTCCCATTATACAAGATAGCAGGTGAAAAGCTGAGAAGTAGGATACTAAGAAGAAACCCGAAGCTAAGAAAGATGAAATGACAATGATGACTACATTGCTGGACTGCCACATGGCTGACTGCGATTTGAGTGCTGGACCCGGAGGTTTGAAACTCATGCTGGGAGCGTGTGTGTGCATGCCCAAAATCCTGAGAGAAGAATGGAGGAGAAGGGACTGCATTGTGGCCATCCTCCCAAGGGGTGATTTCTCGCATTCTGTATCTGTCTTTCCAGCAAGCATACGTGCCCTAGAGCGAAAATCTCTCCAAAAAAGGGGGGGAGGGGGAGTGACCGCAAGGCTAAAAAGTCCAAAAAGGGGAAACCTCATTGCAACAGAAAGCTGGTCCTACTCCAAGACATTGCCAGATACTCCTGATCTGCCATGTAGTCCAGGAAGGCCATGTACAAGAAGAAATACTTGGTCACTAAATCCAGGATTGAAAAGAAAAAGGAGAAAGTTCTTGCCACTGTCATAAAACCAGCTGGTGGGGACAAGAATGGTGGTACCCAGGTGGCTAAAGTTTGCAAAATGCCTAGATAGTATCCTACTGAAGATGTGCTTCAAAAGCTGTTCAGTTATAGCAAAATCCCTTCAGTCAGCATGTGAGAAAGTTACAGCAAAATCCCTTCAGTCAGCATGTGAGAAAGCTGCGAGTTAGCTTCACTCCAAGGACCATTCTGATCATCCTCACTGGATGCTACAGAGGCAAGAGAGTGGTTTCCCCAAAGCAGCTAAGCAGTGGCTTGCTACCTGTGACTGGACCTATGGTCCTCAATCAAGTTTCACTGTGTAGAAAACACCAGAAATTTGTCATTGCCACCTCCACAGACTTGATACTAGTAAAGTAAAAATCCCAGAACACCTCACTGATGCTTCCTTCAAGAAAAAGCTGCAGAAATCCAGACACCAGGAAGGTGGGATCTCTGACACAGAGAAGGAGAAATACGAGATTACAAAGCAGCGCAAGGTTGACCAGAAAGCTGAGGACTAGCAAATTTTACCAAAAATTAAAGCTGTTCCTCAGCTCTAAGGAGACCTGTGATCCTTGTCTGCCCTTACAAATGGAGTTCATCCACAAAAATTGATGTCAAATTTCTTGCCAAGAACCTAACAGCTGAAAAAATATAGTTATGTATATACACTATGAGGTCTAATATTTGAAAAACATGGTACCTATAAGTATTTTTTTTTTTTTGGAGAGATTTTCACTGTAGGGCGCGTGCGCTCGCCAGACAGACAGAGAGAGACATAGAGACAGAAAGCGAGAAATCACCCCCCAGGGGGGATGGTCACGCCGCAATCCCTTCTCCTCCATTCTCCTCTCGGGATCTTGGGCACGCACGCACACGCGCCCGGCTTGAGTTTTAAGCCACCGGGTCCGGGACACGAACCGCGGTCAACTACATGGGAGTCCAGCGACATAGCCATTACGCTAACTGCCGGTTCCCCCTATAAGTATTTTTTTGAAAAAGTAGTTTGGAAATGAAAATGATGATTGTCAACTTCTCTAAATTCTGCAAGACATTAACAGGTAAGTACAGATTGTAAGTTTGGAGAGAGTTATATACTGGAGCCAGCAGGTGGCATAGTGATTAAGGCACTGGACTCCCACTTGGTTGACTGCAGTTCGAGTCCTGGAACTGGCTTAAAATTCATGCCAGGTAGAGTCAGCAGGTGATGTAGTGGTTAAGGATGCTGGACTCCCACATAGCTTACTATGGTTAGAGTCCCAGACCTGGCGGCTTGCTTTCTCACTCTCTCTCTGTCTGGTCAAATTAAAAATAGATAAATAAAGTTAAATAAAATAATTCCTTAAAAAAAAAAAAAATCATCCCAGGTGTGTGTGTTTGCCCAAAATCCCTAAAGGAGAATGGAGAAGGGATTGCAACATGGCCATCCCTACTAGGGGAAGATTCTTTCTTTCACTCTCTCTGTATCTCTCTCTCTCTCTCCCCTCTGGCAAACATACATGCTCTATCATCAAAAAAATAAATAAAATAAAGAACTATTTACTACATACAACCCCATGTTTTAAGCATCATAATACATAATAAACTGGAATGAGGGAGAGATGGCACCTCTACCCCCCTAAAAAAAAACTTGACATGGCTGTGGAGGTGCAGGCAGTAGAAGCACTACTATGCAATACTGGGAGAAATATAGGAAGGTTCCAAGTTCAAATCTCAGGTCATCCTGAACATGCTGGGCACACCAATAATCCTCAATGGCTAGAGGACGGAGCAGGAGGAAGAGTGGTGGAGAGCAGCATGGTGAGACAACCTATCAAAGATGCCTCTCCTCCTTTTTTCTCTCAAGAAAGAATCTTTTAAAAAAACAAACAAAAATCAAAAAGGTAGGGACCAGCCTACGGCATAATGGTTATGTCACTGGAATCCCACGTATTCAACCAGAGTTCAAGTCCTGAACCTGGCAGCTTAAATACTCATTTCAGGTATGTGTGTGCCAAGATCCCGAGAGGAGAATGGAGGAGAAGAGACTGTGGCATGGCCATCCCTGGCCAGGGTGTGAGTGTGCGTGTGTGTGTGTGCATACGTGTGTATGTGATTTCTCACTTTCTGTCTCTGTCTCTCCAGCAAGTGCACTTCCCCTGAAGCAAAAACCTCTCTTAAAAAAGGTAATAACTGTATATTCAGCAAGAACAAATGCCTGTCAAAAGTCAAGTTGGAAAACCACAGCTAATCCTGAATCATTCATGACTTCAAATTAATAATCTCAATTATTTTCAAGAAAGCACAATTCCTGCTCTGCAAATGAAGATACAGATGAGTATTTTATCTAGAAAATTACTTAACACTATCTCTTACTTACACATATACCTTTAATTAAGAGTCTAAAGTATACAATCAAAACACAAATGAATGGCCTCATTTTTGATGAACAATATTCATTTATTTAAACATTCAGAGTTATTATTAGTGTATTAAGAAAATGAAAAGGGGGTTATTTCACAAAGAAACCTAGAACAACACTTAAGAAGGTAACCTGAAAAGTATCCTATCTATAAAGTGTAGAGCACCTTAGGGCTTCAATGACCAAAAAAGAACATGTGAGGAAAGGTGAAGTTCAATCACAATGGCTCTGGAAACAGTTTTCATGTAGCACCTGGCTTTTTTAGCACATTTCTCTGCTAGGTCTGATGAGTCTTCAGTGTTAAGTTTGGCTCGATATAGGTCGGATCTGAAAATAACCTCTTTTATTCAAAATTGATCACAGAGAAATTGAGCAAACTGCTTTTGGACACTTCTTTCTGTCTTACCGCAAAATTGTATGTGTGCTCACCAGAGGGAGACAGAGGAGAGAGAAAAAGTGAAAAAGCAACTCACTTTGGGGAATAATCACACGGCATCTCCTCCATCTCTCCTCCACTGGGATTTAATATACACATACACATGTGCTCAAGTATTGTTTTTCTTAACCACTGGGGACTTGAACTGCAGACCTGAACTGCACAATAGGCCATGTGGGATGTCGGTCTTCCTTTTTCTTTCTTTCTTTCTTTCTTTTTTTTTTTTTTAAGAATTATTTATTTATTTCCATTTGTTATTATTATTATTATTTCATTTCATAGACAGAGGTAGAGAGAAAGGGAGAGCATGAAAGCAAGCCACCAGGTCCAGGATCCGAACCATGGTCAGCCATGTGGGAATCCAGCGCCTTTAACCACCACGCCATCTGCCGGCCCCCCTTTTTCTTTTTAACTTGTAATAATAAGGATGAGAAAATTATTAACTGACTTCTGATGCTATGTCACAGGTACTGGTATTACATTCTATAAACATCTGGTCTAAAATCAGATGAGATAAACAAATGTCAACAATTTAGGTGTCACATATTTCTAAAAAAATAGAAAAAAATAACTACTTGTATATCTTCGCATGACTTTCAAGGTCATCTCCCTATAGAATTGCAGCCTACATATGTTAGCATTAATAAACTATACACTTTATCTACTCTTAAGTAAGCCATTCAATAATTGAAGGAACAGCCCACTCCTTGATCAATTAATCTTATAATGTTTTAAGGATATTAAAGGACAGCTGGCTTAGATAAATAAGACTTTTTCGTACACAATTTGACAGAAGCTAAAAATAAGCCTAAATGTACATATCCAGTATGAATTCTATTCCTGTGAATCTATTCCTGAAAATTAGTAGTTCAAGTATAAAGGATATACACGTGCACACACATGTTCCATGCATTACCATCTATCTATAAAAGCAAAACCACTGGAAATGATATAAATTACCATCGAGGAAACACCTTCCCACTATTAAACAAAAACAAGGTATTGGTTCATCTGGAAAGTCAAGATACATTTTTGCACAGAAAAATACGTCATGAATTTCCCCACAACCTAGTAAATCTGTACATAATGTCATACTGTACTACTGAGTAAGAAATACATATTTTATAACATCATTTTTGTAAAAAAAAAAAAAAAAAAGCCAAGTACAATTATGTATTTGAAAGGATACAGATAAAGACCTGAACAGAGAGGAAATCAAACTACTAAAAGTGGCTAAAGCGATGGTTGAGATTGGGATGCAGATAAAAAGGTAAAATCAAAATTTTACCTTTATAAAGGTTTTTCTTACACAAAAATGTTTTTACTTCTAATACTTAATATCTCAGTTTGGCCTAGTCTGGTGGCATAGTCAGCAGCAAACTGAACTGCAGTGTTAAAAGTCACACTGTTAACTACAAGTTCAGTTCCTTGGAATGGCTTGAAAACACAATGGGTACATACGTGCATGTCCAAGATTCTGAGGACCTGGAGAGTCAGGAAAAAAGGACTGTGGTTTTACAAGACCCTGTTGAAGGTACCCTCTCTCTCTCTTCCATGAGTACACAGTATCATGAATAAAACAAATATAAAATTTTAAAAATCTCAACTGAAAAACAAAAATAAATAATTTCAAAACACTATAACCTTTTACAAAGCAATTTGAAAATTTAATCACCTATCAATATTGACTAATGATTAGTAAAATAAAACTGTAGCTACTAGAAATCAAGTATTTTTAAAAAGTCTTTGGTTTACATGATCTAAATTAAAACTAAAAAATATTTTACTGCTCTACTTTGGATTCATTAGTAATAACTTGTAATATTTGGTTTAATACCCACTCTTTTCTGATATGAACCCTGTCTCAATCTTCTCTAAGAGAGAATGTAGCTGGGAGGGTGGTCTTAATTCATTTTCATCAAGTATACCCCCAGAATTCTTGACATAGTCCTGTTCTTTGTAAGTGTCATAAATGCTAAAAAGAAAGAAGAAAAAAAAATCATAAACCAAATCATTCTTACAGCATATCAACTATATAAACAAATATTTACTAAGTAATTTATACCAGGAATAATTGTTTACCTCCTTGGACACGTACCTACAGTTAAGGCCTATATTTGCTCAAGAGTCTAAAATGGTTTTCCTCCAAGAATCTTAACTCTTTTCTGAAGAAAATTTTGTACACAGAAATTAATTATGCTTATAGAAATCTCTTTTGCCTTACTGAAAAAAATCTTTCAAAATGATCAGTAGAAATCATAAAATCATGCCTTTTACTCCACTGGTCAAAAATAACAAAACCAAATGAACACAACTTTTAAAATCTCTCCCGACCTTAGGGACTAGCAGTTAGCATAATGGCTATGTCACTGGGCTCCCAAGTAGTTGACCGTGGTTCGAGCCCTGGACCCAATTGGCTTAAACTCATGCCGGGCGCATGTGCATGCGTGCCCAAGATCCCGAGAGGAGAGTAGAGGAACAGGGATTGCGGCGTGGCCATCCCCCCCCCTGAGGGCGATTTCACACTTTCTGTCTCTCTCTGTCTTTCTGGGGAGCACATGCGCCCTTATAGTAAAAACCTCTCAAAAAAAAAAAAATCTCTTCCGACCTTCTAGTAAGTAGTATATAAATTCGCTAAACAAAATTATCAGGGCTTACTATGTATCCAATATATTTCAAATTTATCAAGACTAATGAAAACAGACTCCACTGTAGAAAAAGAGGCTCTAAGTTTGGAATAGAAAAGGAAGACAAGTCTGAAAGAAATCAGTACTATAAACTTGTAGCAATAACTATAATACAACATAGTGGATGCATAGTGGTATGAACAACCAGTTTCGTGAAGATGGAGATATAGGTCAATAGAGGTTTCACAAAGGCATTGATATTTGAAATATGTGGAGCTATTTGAACAACAAGAAAGTTAAAAAATGAGGGTGTGGGCCTCATAGTTCAATGGTTAACAGAGCCAGATCCCATGTGCTAGAAAGAGAGTGTGAAGAAAGAAATTAAGGGGAAAAATAGACAGGCAAGACATTTATGGGATACAAAAATGGATTATTATCTGTTGAAGATAACGTGTATAGTATCCTCAACTGGAATGGTATGAAGTGTATTCATGTTGGGTAAATTCACTTTACAAACTAGGTGGCATATAGTGATTGAATATATAAAATTAAAAATAAACAAATAAATTAATTGATTAAAATAATTTTTTTTAAAAAAGTTCTCTGTGCTTCCCAGGCATTTAATTTTCCTTTTTCTACTTTCCTAAATGAGCACTTTATTCCTGTTCATCTCAGCTTCATATACAGTATCTCTCTCTCAAAATTAAGCTCTCTGAATCTGGGACTGAATAGCTGCTAGAGATTTAATTTTTATTTATTTATTTTTAAAGAATTATTTTATTGAATTTTGTCTAATTAATTAATTAATTAATTTTAATTTGACCAAGGGAGAATAGAGAGAAAGAGAGAGAGAAAGTGTGAAAGCAAGCTGCCAGCTCCAGGACTCAAATCGTGGTTGGCCATGTCGGAGTCTAGCACCCTTAACCACCACGCCACCTGTGGCAACGCTGCTGGAGATTTCTGAGATAAGCTTCGTTTGCAAAATTATTTCAAAATTCCCAGTTGGAATTTCCTGTTGGAGCTCTTTAACACTACTCACACATATGGAGTTCGTGAGTTTTTTCTTGAATTTGTTAAAAATGTAGCTCAGGGGACCAGCAGTTAGCGTAATGGCTATGTTGCTGAACCCCCATGTAGTCAACCACAGTTCGAGTCTCAGACCCAGTGGCTTAAACTCACACTGGGCGTGTGTGAGTTTGTGCCCGAGATCCCGAAAGAAGAATGGAGAAAGGATTGTGGCATGGCCATCCCCTCTAGGGGGTGATTTCTCGCTTTCTATCTCTCTGCCTCTCTCTGTCTTTCTGGTGAGCGCAAGCACCCTATAGTGAAAACCTCTAAAAAAAAAAAAAAAAAAAGTAGTTTGAGAGCCATCTTCTCTGCACCCTTTTTTTTTTTTTTTTTTTGCTATGAAGCATGTGCACTTGCCATAGAGAGAGAGTTAGAAATCTTTCCCAAGAGAGGGTAGCCATGTCAAAATCTCTTTTTTTACGTTCTCCTCTTGGGATTCTGGGCATACACGCACACATGCCCAGTGTGTTTTTCAAGCTACCAGGTCTGGAATGTTGCAGTCAGCCACATGGGATCTAGCTCCTTTAAGCACCACACCACCAGCTGGCTCTCCACCATTGTTTTTAAAAGTAAAAACATTAAGAACTAATCAGTCTGGGACCAGCAGTTAGCGCAATAGCTATGTTGCTGGACTCCCACGTAGTTGACCACGGTTAGAGTGCTGGACCCGGTGGCTTAAACTCACGCCGGGCTTATGTGCGTGCGTGCCCAAGACCCCAAGAGGAGAATGGAGAAGGGATTCCTGCGTGGCCGCTCTCCTTGAGGGGTGATTTCTTGCTTTCTGTCTCTCTCTGTCTGGCGAGCGCACATGCCCTAATAGCAAAAACCTCTCCAAAAAAAAAAAAAAATTAATCAGTCTTATTCCTTTGGAATTACACGTTGAATATAATAGGGGTTTCTTACTTGCTTTGTTTTTCCTATTTTATTGATCAGAACACCAGATACAGACTTTTCCTACCTAGAAGCTCATATCCTTCGGTCCTAGGACACAGATAATAGCTTCTTCCCACAGAACTGGATGAAAGACCCCTCCTCCCCCCACTGGTCCTGTTATCTTTTTATTTTTATTTCCTACTTCTTATTGCTGTTAGTTTCTGGAAGAATTCTTCAGACTTATTACTCAAACTGTATTAAATCTTAAGGAAAAAAAAAAACTTGTCTAATCTTGTCATGCCTCATTGTTGTTTTATGAGTATCTCTTTGTAAAAAGCTAGAAACTTCAACTTTCTTCAATTTTGTTGAAGTTTCTTCTGTTCCCTGCAGTAAATCTGGTTTTGCCACACTTAATTTATTTCCTACTTATTTCCTATTTGATCTCTTTTTTTAAAGAATTATTTTATTTAATTTTGTTTATTCGTTAATTTTCATTTGACCAGACACAGAGAGAGAGAGAGAGAAAAAAAGCAAGCCGCCAGGTCTGGGACTTGAACCGTGGTCAGCCACGTGGGAGTGTCCAGCATCTTAACCTATTTGGTCTCTTTTATATAAAGACTTTTCACTGAATGGCTGACAACTCTTAGCTATACATTTATGTTTAAATGTGAGACATTTAAAAGTTGATTCCTTGTCTTTATTATTTATTTTTTGAGATATTTTTGCTATGGGGAACGTGTACTCGCTGGAGACACAGAGACAAAGTGAGAAAGTGGGGAGCCAGGAAGGGAAGGTCACACTACAATCCCTTCTTCTCTTGGATTTTAGGCGCACATGTACACACGCCCTGCATAAATTTCAGGTCACCAGGTCCAGGACTCCCAACAGAGTCGACTGTGTGAAAGTCCAGTGCCTTGGGACCAGCAGGTGGCGTAGGTTAAGGTGCTGGACATTCCCACATGGCTGACCATGGTTCGAGTCTTCGGACTTGGCAGCTTGCTTTTTCACTCCCTCCCAACTCCACTCACCGCATATGTCTCTTTGATCAAGGTAAAAATAAATGAATGAAGGGACCAGCAGGGGGCATGGTGGGTAAGGCGCTGGACACTCCCACATGGCCGATGATGGTGCGAGTCCTGGATCTGGTGGCTTGCTTTCTCACTTTCTCTCTCTCTGGTCAAGTTAAAATAAATTAATAAATAAAACTTAAAATAAATAGTTCCTTAAAAAAAAAGTCTTATTCTGAAAAAAAAAAGTTTTTTTTTAATAATTAATAAATAAAATTAATTATTTAAAAAAAAGAAAACTAAGTTCAGTGATTTAACCACTACACCATCTGCTGGTCCCACTATTTCTTGTCTTATTCACCAAAATTCCCCAGTTTCCATCAGAGCTCCTAATATCACAGCAGATAAGATACTCTATGAAGGGGCCTAGTAGGTGATGTGATGGTTAAGGCACTGGACTCCCAATGGCCAACCACAGTTTTGAGTCTCAGAGTGGGCAGCTTGTTTTCTCATTCACTCTCTCTTGGTGATCACACGTGCCCTACAGCAAATTAAAGAATAATAATAATAAACAAAATAATTATTTTTTAAAGAATTATTTATTTTTAATTTTATTTATTCATTTACTTATTTTATTTTAAACAGAGAGACACAGAGAAAGAGAGAAAGTGAGAAAGCAAGCCACCAGATCCAGGACTAGAACCATGGTCGGCCACGTGGGAATGTCCAGCGCCTTAACCACCACGCCACCTGCTGGTCCCCAAAATAATAATTCTTTCAAAATAAAAAATACCCAGGAATATAAAATACCCAAAATAGGTAAGTCACTGAACTCCTACATGGCCGACCACAGTTAGAATCCTGGACCCAGTAGCTTAAAACTCATGCCTGGAGCGTATAAGCATGCCCAAAGTCCCGAGGGGTGAATGAAAGAGAAGGGACATCCCCTTGAGGGATGATTTCTCCCTTTCATATCTCTCTGGTGAGTGCACACATCCTGTAGCAAAAATCTCTTTAAAACAAAAAGATACTCTATGAAGTTATTTTGGGGTGGTCCTAATAGAGGTAATTTTTGCTGTTTTGCAGCTTTATGCATTATCTAAAATTTTAAATAAGCATAATTATAATCTGAGAAAAAATCAAACTATTAGAAAAAAGACCTCCCACAGTCTTTAACAGTAGTAAGTTAAATGTTTTTTAAAAAAGAAAAAGTAGAGAAAGCAAAGAGAAATATCATTTCCCATGAAGTCAGATCAATAGTCCCATAAAACAACGTACCTCTATTTAAAAACAGGAAATACTATAGAACAAAAAATGTATGGTTTTCAAAGAAATTTAAGAATTTATTTGAAACAATTTTGCCATGCACAAAAGTACAAAAAATATTTTTGGAAGTCAAGATAATCACACGCAAATGGAATAAAAACAAAGCTATCTTTAGCTATTACCTGAAGTGCAAAGTTCATGTGGAAACACTGTTCATTTCAAAAGGTGACCTAAAACAACTGGAGGTCTACACACAAGATATAAAAAGTGGCACCATCTGGCTAGCAATTCTGTAAGGTTTCTACCACCACCACACTCATAATCCAACATAGACTCTCAAAGACATACTCAGTAAAACTTCAAAATATTACTTGTTATCACCTGGTCTCAGTGGCTGCAGTGACCTGATTTGGCTCTGCCAAAGCTTCACTCACTACATCCCCACCTGAAGGTAAGACATTACACAGAATCTGTCCATCTTTCGGTATCCTTTGCACCCAGCGGCGTAGGACAAGCCGCTTCATAGATGAGTGAGGTTAGCCCTCCACAAGAAGAGCTGTCTAAGGGGTTGAACGGCAGTAGGTGCCGCTGCAGCAGCAGCAACAGCAGCAACAGAGACCAAGGGTCTCTCCCCTCCTCACTTCATGGTGTGTGGAGGGGGGGTGTGTGTCTCTCTGCAGAGTTTGTTGTTCTCCAGCCGCCTCCCACCAGCTGGCCCCTTCCCACTAGGGAAGGCCGGCGCTAGCCGGCGGGTTCCGGTGCAGGCGCATGCGTCTTTTGAAAGTCAACAAGGGTGGCTCCGCGAGCCAAACTGGGCCAGATCTGCTTCAGAGTCTCAGAACCCCACACAGTCCCAAGGTCTTCAGGGCACTGCAGGGCCTGAGAGACTTGAGGCCCAGGCCACAGCCCATGGATCCTACACAGCTCACGGAGTCGGAAGCCTCACAGACCTGGGGTGGGGGCGTAGTTGTACGAAGAGCAACCAGCAGTAGTAGGAGCCAAGGGCTGCGCGTGCCATTTCACAGCAACCCTAGAGGAGGGTGATTTTAGCACTGTTTTACAATGATCAAAATGAGACCCAATTTCCTTAAGTGTCCTGTCCTTGTGTGGTATAAAATATACATAGGGCGGGACCAGTCCTAATGGCTGTGTCGCTGGACTCCCATGTAGTCAACTGCAGTCCGAATCCCAGACCCGGTGGCTTAAATTCACGCTGGGCCATGTACGTGCGTGCCCAAGATCCCAAGAGGAGAACGGAGAAGGAACTACTGTCCCGCGGCCCGGGGAGGGGGGG